AACTAGGATATTTTTTTTGAAGAATGTAACATTTTTTAATAACTTTTTTATTATTTTAAAGTGAATTTTTTTTTTTTTTGAATCCACAAAATACTATTTGGGGCCAGCACTGATTGGCCAAACAATCTCACGTGATCCTCTGGAGCAAGTGATGGCCAAGCGGGGCGTGTCATCACGACTTTACACAAGTGTGTCTTTACCTCCACGGCAGAGGCTCCGCCGAACCCCTGAGACCGGCTCATCGAACCTCTAGGGTTCGATCGAACCCAGGTTAAGAACCACTGAAGTTTAGATCAATGAAGCTGTCCAAAATGACCAAAAAAACATAAAAATACCACATAAAAATTACATCTTGTATACACAGCATTTACTATCACAAAGAGCTGTGGCCTGTTCTCCTGTTTCTCGTAATAAGTTGTGCAAAATGACAAAAAATACCACATACTAATTATTTTTGTACCTTCTAATGTCAAATATAATTTACTTGCACAATATATCAAAAATAATTATGACACCAGTGTCTTTATTTAATATATTTTATTCTTTCATTTATTGCTTCTCTGAACTTGTTTATATTAAAATGCTGTAATACTGACTGGTGACTGTGGAGGACCGTAACTGACGTAATTAGAAATAAAAGCAGAAATATATAAATGGACCAATAAATAAATACACTTAAATTCACCAATTAATTAAAAAATATTTTTATATTTCATATTTATTTTTCCAGCTTTGATCTAATAAATTATATATTTTAGTACATGGGTAGATTTTACTGTTTTTAAAAATATAATTTTTTGTTTTCCCTTTATCTTGTAGATGCATCTGTGTCTCATAAATGTTTATATTTCATTAATTTTTATAATTTTTCCCACGATATTTCCATGTGTTGCTTTTACATTTGTCTGTCTCCTGTTTTTACTTTACCTTAGGCATTTCTGCCTCATACAAATAAAGTGGGCGGTCCTTCTCTGGTCAGCTCCTCTCTTATTGGTCAACAGACAGGAGCAGGGTCCAGGTGCAGATCTACTGTGCATGCTTGTGCTGCCTCATTTTAGCTTAAAGTTTAGTTTAAAACACAGGTAAGTGTTTTTCCTCCTTGCCTTTGTTTTAAACTAAACTTTAAACTTTAAGCTAATCTGAGGCAGCACAAGCATGCACAGTAGATCTGCACCTGGATCCTGCTCCTTCCTGTCTGTTGACCAATAAGAGAGGAGCTGACCCGAGAAGGACTGCCCACTTTATTTGTATGAGGCAGAAATGCCTAAGGAAATGTAAACACAACACATAGAAATAAAAAGAATTGGGGGTGGGGTGGGGGGGGGGGGCATTTAGGAGACACAAATGCATGTACAAGTAAAAGGAAAAACAAAACATATTTTTAAAGACAGTAAAGTTTTACTTTTGTGCTAAAATAAATAATTTGCTGGAAAAGCTGGAAAAATAAATATGAAGGTCAATTAAATTATTAAACATGAGATAAAATTCTCCTTTTGTAAATGAATTTGTGCTTTTTAAGTGTATTTAATTATTCATCCTTTTATATATTTCTGCTTTTATTTCTAATTATGTCCGTTTCAGTTCTCCACAGTTTAAATGATCCAGATACTGAAATATCTGTTTCTGATGCACTAAGCTGTAATTTGCTGCTACATGGTTTCTTCAAAAACTGTTTGCTTTAGAAAGTGTTTTGAAAAAATGTGTTTTTCTCTCAAAAACACATTTGGTTGAAGGAAGTTCGATTACTAAAAACACCAGTTCTAGTTTAGCTGATGGGCTGAATGAATGTAATTTTTTAAGAGGTTGTTTCACAGAAATAAACTAAAAATAATTTATATGATGAAGGTATTTTATATTTTTGTGATAAATGTACTTAATTTGAAAAAATAAAAAAATGCACCTTTTTAAAAGTGCACTGCTTCAGTCGTTCATGTCCAACTCTAAGCTCCTAGTTTCTATATTTATTCACCTCACCCATGATTTGAAGAGTTATGTGAGTTTTCTGTAATATCCAAACACATACAGATACTATGACCTTTATGGAGACAAACTTCAAGATCAAGCAGCCTTGATCTTGGAGGTTGTGGGTTCAAATCCCTTCTTGAACTTTTTAAAACTGACAAACCAGAAGAAATGGCTCCAGAGGATCAGGAGCTGGAACCACAGAGGATGATGGAACTAAACCTGGTTATTGATAAACGTCCTTTTTAAACTGAGACATTAAAAACAACAAAACTGTTAAAGTTGTGTCAGAACATCCTGAGTGGACTCAGTGGCTCAGCAGGAAAGTCCAGGACCAGAAGGTGGTGTTGTAGGACCTGGGTTCAAGCCCTGCCTCCAGAACCACCAAACAAACATGGAGCTGCATTAAATCTTCTAAAGTTGCTGACATTTCTGAGCTCATTTAACTTTTTACTGAAGTTTGTCTCCATTAAAGTCAGACGTTCCTGATCAGGAAGTCATGTTCGAACATCTTGAGCTCTTCTCTGAACACTTTTTACTGATTGTTTGAAAAGTAACTCAGTTCAAAGGTCTGAGTTTTGTACTTTAATGTATTCAAGGTATCTGCAGCCTTTTTGACCCTATTTCCTCGTCAAATTTGTTAAAACAACAGATTAATAATCCAGCATGATGGGTTCAGAGGCTTCACTTCAGACACTTTAGATTAAAGGAGTCTTTAAGACCCTCTAAAAGCAGCATCAGACAGTCTGGTTACCTCATTTACAAAAACAGTTTAAAAAATAAAGAGCTGAAAATGTGTTTTTTTTATAACCCAAATCACTTAAGTCAAATAAAGAAAAATATGTCTTACATAAACATATTTATTTAGGTCATCAAATACGAGATGCTTCAGAAACATTCACTTTCTATTAACGTGTCTAATTTCACTAAAGGATTACAAATACAAACAAATTTACAGAAACCATTTCAAAGGAGACATATCCTGCTTTTCAATCCATCCTTTTAATATTTAAATCTCAGTTGTGGTTTACATAAAGTGAAACTGCAATGCTTTGGTCTGCGTTCCTGGTTATTGTAGCTCCACAAGCCCCTCTTTCGTCTCAGTTCTGAGGTGCGTCTGAGATCAACTCGTTTTGGTGCTGTCTCTTTAAATTCAAACGGGTTGTTTCACACACCGCCTTCCTGAAGGTCTCGCTCCCTTAAATCATTGTCCACCTCACTCAGACATTTTTGTGGTTTGACAGAAGAGATGCAATTATCTAGCAGCACAGAAACATCTTATTTATGTTAAATTATGTCAACAAAGACTTGTCCATCCAGTCCTACATGTTGGAGCCAGAGGAGAATGAMGACAATGAACCTGCAGAACTGGATTTGTCACGTTAGTTATCTGGACGTCRATGACTCTGTTTAGCAGTTCTGCAGCAAATATTGTGATGTTATTGTTCAACAATGTAATAAAGAAAGAATACTGAACAAACTGAAAAATGTGACCTGAACAGAATATAAAGATATCTTTGCAGCACCAGGAGACTGAACTCAACTGTTCGCACTCCTTGATAAACCAAGTACARAACAAAATGTATTTAAGGACTGATTAAGTGGATTTTGCACGATATGTCCCCTTTAATGGAGAGATKGGGATGTCACAGATTAAGTACAAAAATTAATAAGTGCTGCATGTTTACCTTTAGAGCTTCACTGTGATAAAAGGAAGAAGACATTTATCAGGGAGCAAGGATCGTCTTAAAATTTACAGCTCAAATAGKTCCTCATCTGTGGACACAACTTAAAACAAGTCCAGTTATTTTGTGTGTAAAATACTCTCAAGATTTGTTGAATATCCACAACAGTGCTGACCGCTACATCATTTCCAAAAATAAATACTGTTTGTTTCTTTTCTGTAATCGATCCATCCTGAAGTTTATGTAACAAAGAGAATAAAAGCTGATACCAGCCACTGTACAGACGACCACCCACGAGGAGTTCTCAGGGTATAATATAAGTCCACATTCAAAACACAAACAAACTGTTTCGTTTAAACAAGAAAAAGAGTAAAAATAAAAAAATACAGTGCAGATGTTAGATAAAAGTCATTTCATCCACCAAAGATACAGATACAGAGGTGTCAGGTCAACAGGAGGTCTGTTGTAAAACCAGGAAATAACGGTGATGGAGTCACATTTATGGGAAGTGTGAGAAGTTAAAATCGGCGCCGCTTGCTGTTTGGGCCATCGAAGACGCCGCCAACTGGACTGCCCCTGCCAAATCCTGGATTTGGTCCGAGCTGTGGCCCCAAGGAGGGCTGATGTTGCTTTGGGGACTCYACCTCCTGTCGACCCCCCATCGGTCCACCTTGAGGGTATCGATCGCTTCGCTGAGGTCAGCGTCAAAGAAGAATCAGGAAGAGTTCGTGGCAAAAGGTTTGTAAAAAATTGAGGGCAATGAAAAAAAAATTCAAGCAAAGAGATGAAAGATAAATGTTTGAGTTTGATGCAGGAGCAGAGAGAGAGAGATACAATGGTWAGTTGACTCAAACTGAACATTTTTATGAAATGTAAATGAAGGTTTTGCAGATAAATTACCAAAGATCCATTCTCTGACGTCAATGGCATGCCCATATTTGCAGTTCCTTCTGGGATGATGGCTCCGCCCCTTCCACTCATGCCCATCATCTGACCTTGGTTACCACTGGGTCCTGCAGAGGCCTGGTTATACCCATCTACACACAAAACAAACAATTTATTGGTTTATTTTAACAAGTAAATGMAAACAAACTGGTGGCTGGCTGGAACAGCTTTAAAAACTAAATGTTGGCTTTTGGTCACAAGTAGCAGAGATATTTTAGCAAAGGTTGACAAAGTTTCATTCAATGCTGATAAGTATTTGTAATATATACTGTAACAACACTTTTACACCTGTTATTAAATTTTTACTATCGTTTTAGGGGGAAAAAAGATGATTTATGCCGTAACAGCTTAAAAACAGCTACTCAAACATTAAGTGACCATCAGCATAAATTAAAATCTGCTCACTAACAACAACCAAAAATCAACATTACTTCAAACTACTTACAGTTAGGTTTTACATCACATGATACTGATGAAGAGCAGAATACCTGACAGGAAGTACCACAGGTCKTGTGATGATGTTAACGGACCTACTACTGAACTGCACATCCCCTGAACTTTAGYAACATGCCTGGAGTTTGAAGGTTTTTTATTCCACTAGAGATGTTTGATTCTGCTCATGTTTAAAATCTGTTCCATGAAAATGGATTTAATTTACACCCAAACCCACACAACAAAACTTGTCTGGCCCAGGTCTGGCCCACACAAAGCGCCAACAGCATGTCTACATACTGCAAAGAATGACAGCTCTTTGGTGGCCCAGATGTGGTTTGCCAGAGGTGGTCCGTGCTTGGGCCAGTACCACATAAACCAAACCATGACTGGGCCAGTTGTGGCGTGCCATTTTAAAAACAGACATGACTGTTGAAACAGACCACATGTTGCCAAAAACATCCAAATGAGATTTTACAGATTTGTTTACATGGCAATGTGCAATCCTGGAATATAATCTACATGACTGATTACTCTAGATGTATTTTAATAATCTGTCCACTTTACAGCATAACAGAGTCAATCCCTGGCCCTCATCCTYCACTGGCAGATCAGCATTCAAAATATTCTACTTAATCTTTTTCAGCTACATCTGTGAAATGTAGGAAAGTCATCCATCCATCATCTATACCAGCTTCTTCCTTTCAGGGTCACTGGTGCCCACACCCAGCAGTCACTGTGTGAGGGGTGGGGTACACCCTGGACAGCAAGTCCATCACAGGGACCCACATAGAGACAGACAACCATTCACACCTGGGGACAATTTAGAGTTACCAGTTAACCTGACAGTCATGTTTTTGGTCTGTGGGAGGAAGCCGGAGTACACGGAGAGAACATGCAAACTCTACCCAGAAAGATCTCAGGCTGGGATTCAATCCGGCAACCTTCTTGCTGAGAGGCATCAGCTCTACCAACTGAGCCACTGTGCTGGACAGAAAGTAAAACTATGCAAAATAAAAGGAATAAATAAATAGAAAACACCACAGTTTTACTGTTCCAGGACTATAAACAACCATATGAGCAACATTTATATCACCAGATCAGCGTACAGCTGAGGATGAAGGCTCAGGGACTAAACATATCTTTAAACTATAAATTCCTGCCCAAACAAAGAAGCCTTCATCAGAATTTTATGTTGGCATCGCATCCCTGGTGACTCCATTAGAAAAAAAAAACATACAACGGTAAAATGAAACTGATGCAAAACAAAAGTGGCACATTAAAAAGATTCATCCTACATAAGCAGACCCGTACCTCCTATATTAACGGCTCCTCGAGGACCCAGCTCACCCACTCTCATTTCCTGTTCCCTCTGAAAGAAGAGAAGAAGAAACGCTAAAAATACAAACCATTAGCAAATAAAAGAAACCAACAAAAACAGCTTGTAAGCTTTAGATGAGCTCAATAGATAATTGAGAAATCCAGGATAAGAAATAAATCTAGGCTCGACATAACTTGATCAGTTCATCCTGGCTTCATCTGTTTCACAAAGACCAAACCTGAAGAGGTGCAGCCAGGTGCTCGTCCACAGATTCACTGGGCCTCATGCAAGAACCGTTCGTACGCACAGATTTGTTCTTAAGTTGTGCGTACGAGTGATTTAGGAGAATTTGT